CTAAAAATACAAAATTAGCTGGGCGTAGTGGTGCATGCTATTTGGGAGGCTGTAATCCCAGCTACTCTGGAGGCTGAGGCAGGAGAATAGCTTGAACCCAGGAGGTGGAGGTTGCAGTGAGCCAAGATTGGGCCTTTGCACTCCAGCCTGGGCAACAAGAGTGAAACTTCATCTCAAAAAAAAAAAAAAAAGTGATTTCCATTTGTTGTGGTACACATGTCAGTTCTATGAATGCTGATTTTGTAAAGAACTAGATGATGGAAAAGAAGCAACTATAGGAGGCATGAAGATGAAAAGGAAAGGTCAGAGAAGGAGTTGAAAGCAACTGGAGACTGAAATGCCAGCTTCTAGAACTTGCTCTTGGGTAGGGATTAGAGAGAAATTTATTTAAGACAGTACATCCCAGCTCAGGTGGCACCATGGAGGAAGGCGATAGCTAAATTCTCTACAATAGCTTCTTACAGTTGTATAGATATACGTACTTATAATTTTCAAAGATTTCAACAGAAAGGAGAAGTACAGTTTTTAGATGCCTTCTCTTCATGGGAAAAATAGAGAAGATGCTTGGGGAAAGTTGAAGAAAGTTCCATCTCATTTTCAGGTGTAGCACAAAGAGCTTTGGAGACTTCAGGATTCCAGTAGATCAGGTTCCTTTCAGGTGTCTGGGGAGGGGACATTGCCAGGGCTGCTCTGATGAATGACTAGAGATGCCCGGGTCTGATGGTATTAGTAACCTAGTTACCAACATCCTGTGGATAATGGGAGGCTGGGCAGAGAAAAGGGCAGTCCAGAGTCACCCACCAAATCTCCACCTTTCCCCTTCCCTTACCAAACAACTCCAGCCTCCACTGCTGCTCAGGGTCTTTGTTTGTTCAGTAATCTCATCTTTTCTTCGCTCTTAACCCATCTCTCTGCTGAAACTACTCTATTCCTTCTAATGTAAACGTGTTCGTATCTCTTCCATCAGAGAAAAGCCTTGATCTATAGCACTGTCCATCTTGGTCTTCTCTTTTCATCCACTTTTTTTTTTTTCTGAAGCAGCAAATGCATTACTCAGTCCACTACCACCTGGCTTCTGCTTCTGTCATTCCACTGAATCTGTGCTTACAGTTCATTTGTGACTGTCTATTGTCCCAGTAGACATTTTCCAATTCTTATCCTACTGAATCTCTCAACTGCATTTGACTTTTTTTTTCTTTCGAGACAGTCTCACTCTGTTGCCCAGGCTGGAGTACAGTGGCTCAGTCATAGCTTACTGCATCCTCTACCTTCCAGGCTCAAGTGATCTTCCCACCTCAGCTTCCCAAGTAGCTGGGACTGTAGGCACATGCCACTATGCCTAGCTAATTTTTAAATTTTTAGTTTGTAGAGATGGGGTCTTGCTATGTTTCCCAGGCTGGTTTCAAACTCCTGGGCTCAAGTAATCCTCTCACCTACTCCTCCCAAAGTACTGGCATTAAAGGCATGAACCACCATGCCTAGCCTTTGTTTGATATTTTTTAATTTTCTCTGCCATTGCCTAAGTGACTTCTGTGATACAGTGTTCCAGTTTTTCAGCTCCACTACCATTCTTTATCTTCTTGGCTAATTCTCTTTCTTTACTTACCCCTTTATTAACAGGGTCTGAACAGGAAACAGCTCATTCAAATTACAACAATTTGAGGAGAGTTTATTTGCAAAGAGGTTAATTAGGAATGACCTAGGTGAAGAACCAGGGGCTGGCAATAATAGAGTAGTCACTAGCCCTGAGCCTGAAGAGACAGGAGGGAGCAGAGGTTACTGGAACCCAGGCAGTGAGACTATTGAGTAGGATAAACTTGAGAGGAGTAGGGACCTCAGGTGAGGGACAACACCAGCCCAAGGCGACCTCACAGGCAGGAACTGGAAGAATAAATACCCTGACCCCTTTCTCCACCCCGCCCTTTCCTCCCTGCTTCCAGACCCCTGCTGGGGCTCCTCATTGATGGAACACAGCTGGAAGTCAGAGGGCCTGTTGATGTGTTCCATACAGGTTAGGCTTCTGGGGCAAAGAGGACAGGGAGAAAGGTGTAAAGAAGATCTAGAGGGGAAAATCAAGATAACTAGAGTACTTGTGACTGTTAGCTTTGACTCCTAGGTTTCGGCTTGCAGTCTCTAATAGCTCTCACCTATACTCATGCTGAGTACTCTCAAGTCTGTATCTCTAGTCCTGACTAAGCTTTAGACCAACATATTTTGACTGGTTCTTTGACACCTCTCTATGGATATCTTGAAACTCATTTTGTCCAAACCAAAGCTCATTCATCATCTTTACTGCTCTACTAACTCCTCCTCCAGTATTCTCAGTATCGTAGCACCACCATCCATCTAATTACTATCTCTCAAATTGAGTGAGATCTGGGCACCATCTTTGACTCCTCCCTCCTTACACCTATATCCAGTCACACAGGAAGTCTTGCAGAATTTGACCTCTTCAGTATCTTTACAGTCTGTCTCTTCTTCCCCACTGCTACTAGTGCTCTAGTTAGATCACATCGCCTTTGCCTTGATGACTGTATCAGCCTCCTGGCTGATCTTGCTGTGTTCAGGCCTGCTGTTTTCTGCTTCAGCCAGTGTGCATCTGTGTGTAATATTAATCTGCACAGGGACTTTGTCACTCCTTGGTCTAAAAACCATCCCATAGTCTGCATTGTCTAAAGGATGAAGTTACATACAGGCCCATGTCCCCTCAGAATTGCCTTCCACAGTGAACACTTTTACTGATGGGAGGATTGTATTCCTCACTTTTACTGTAATGCACAAATGCACTGCCCTCAGCAAAAGGCCACTTTAATATTAGTTCCAGGTTGTTTACCATCTGAACAAAGGTCAGGCTTATTCTCCTGGCATTTGGACCCGTTGTCTGTGGTGGATATAGCTAAATACCTAGGGCAATTATATTAGGAATAGGTTTGGTCTCGTAAAATAACAACAACAACAAAAACCCCAATGGCTTAAGCATGGCAAAAGCTTATTTCTCTTTTAGATAAATGAAGCCCAGTGGCTGGCATTCCAGGAAAGGTATGGCAGTGCCATGGAGTCATCAGGGACCCAGATTCCTTCCAGCTCTGATCCTCAGTCCTAGGGTATGCCATTATACTCATGGTTCAAGATGGTGTCTAGCTATCACATCATGCTCTGGGAACAGCATGGAAGACAGGATGGAAGAAATGTATCCCCTCATCCTTTAGGAGATTTCCTAGTAGTCTCCATGTACTTTCATTTGCATTTCAGTGTTTCATTGGCTAGAATATTATCATGTGGCCAATCCCAACTGCAAAATTTAAAAAGCTGGGAATGTATTTTTTTTTAACTAGGCTAATTGCCACACTACATAAATTTATTATTCTGTTAAAAGGCAATGGAGAAAAATAGATCTTGGGGTAGACAACTAAAATTTTTGCTACAACTAAAAATTTTCATAAAGGTTTTAAAAACGTACTCTTTTTTTTCTCTCTCTCTCCTAAGAAACAAGGTCTCTTGCCCTATTGCCCAGGCTGGAGTGCAGTGACACAATCCTGGCTCACTGCAGCCTTGACCTCCTGGGCACAAGTGACCCTCCTACCTCAGTCTCCCCAGTAGCTGAGACTACAGCCTGGGTAACATAGGTGGTACTTCTGTGCTAGTTATAGCTAAGACACATTACCCTTTTGAATGGGTAAGCCCTATAAATCTCATCTCCTACTCTATAGAGCTGATAACTACCAGAGAACAGAACTAAGAATAGTTCTCTTGTTACTCATTTTGCAGTTACTTCCCCTGTACACCCAAAAGTTATTTCTATTAACTTGCCCTTTTTTTTTTTTTTTTTTTTTTTGATATTTAATGGGTGAGTCTTACTCTGTCACCCAGGCTGGAGTGCAGTGGCAGAATCTTGACTCACTGCAACTTCCCCCTTCCTGGTTCAAGCGATTGTCCTGTCTCAGCCCCCTGCAAGAAGCTGGGACTATAAGTATATGCCACCAGGCACAGCTAATTTTTGTATTTTTAGTGGACAGGGTTTCACCATGTTGCCCAGATTGGTCTCAAACTCCTGAGCTCAACTCAGCCTCCCAAAGTGCTAGGATTACAGGCTTGAACCACCATGTCTGGCCTTGCCTTGTCATTTTTGTCCCTTCTTTCAACATTTATCATATACCTATCTATTAATATGGGGCCACCATTTTCCCTAGATGTTTTCTTTATTACCTTCAGGTTCCAACCCAACTCACCATTAATAGTATGGATCTTTTTCTTTTCTCTCTCTCTTTTTTTTTCAGGTATGTCTTAGTAGTGTGAAAATGGGAATAGTGTGGATCTTTTTATCAGCATCTCTTTACCATCCATTTCTTACTTTTCTCTTTAAATCTTTTCTCACTCCTTTTAGTCAGCACCCACTGTTTAGCATGTCCACCATAATCCTAAATCTTTATTTTCTCTTTGGCAGCATTCTGTCATTTTCCAGACACCAAGACTGTTTTTGTTTTGTTTTGTTTTTTGTTTGTTTTTGTTTTGAGACAGGGTCTTGCTCTGTCACCCAGGCTGGAGTGCAGTGGTGCATTTCAGCTCACTGCAGCCTTGACCTCCCCAGGCTCAAGCAATCCTCCTACCTCAGCCATTCCCCTCCCCTGACAAAGACTGTTCTCCTCTAGTGTTATCTTTATTTAAATATGGCCGGGCGCGGTGGCTTAAGCCTGTAATCCCAGCACTTTGGGAGGCCGAGGCGGGTGGATCACGAGGTCAAGAGATCGAGTCCATCCTGGTCAACATGGTGAAACCCTGTCTCTACTAAAAATATGAAAAAATTATCTGGGCATGGTGGCATGTGCCTGTAATCCTAGCTACTCAGGAGGCTGAGGCAGGAGAATTGCCTGAACCCAGGAGGCGGAGGTTGCGGTGAGCCGAGATTGCACCATTGCACTCCAGCCTGGGTAACAAGAGTGAAACTCTGTCTCAAAAAAAAAAAAAGATACGGTCCCTTCACATACTTACTCTCATTTCAGATTGTGATATGGGGACTGAGAACAAGGAGGTGATTCCCAAGGAAGAAATTTCTGAAGAATCTGAGCCACCTGGGTCAATGTTAGAAAAATTTCCAAGAGTGGTTTACCAAGGTCATGAGTTTGGAGCAGGATGTGAAGAAGACATGTCGGAGAGACATTCGAGAGAGTCCATGGAAGAGATTATGGAGCAGATGTCTCCTCAGGAGAGAGACTTTACATCAGGGTTGATGATCTTTAAAAAATCACCCTCAAGTGAGAAAGACCGGGAGAATAATGAGGGCAAGAGAGGCTGCAGTCCCAGCCCAAATCTGGTTACACATCAGGGAGATACTACAACAGAGGGAGTGAGTGCATTTGCTACCTCTGGCCAAAACTTCATAGAGATTTTAGAACCTAACAAAACACAGAGAAGTTCTGTTGGAGAAAAGCCTCATACATGTAAAGAATGTGGGAAAGCCTTTAACCAGAACTCACATCTCATCCAGCATATGAGAGTTCATAGTGGAGAAAAACCTTTTGAATGCAAAGAATGTGGAAAGACATTTGGAACTAATTCAAGCCTTCGACGGCACCTGAGAATTCATGCTGGAGAGAAACCCTTTGCTTGCAATGAATGTGGAAAGGCATTCATTCAGAGTTCGCATCTTATCCACCATCATAGAATTCATACTGGAGAGAGGCCCTATAAATGTGAAGAATGTGGTAAAGCCTTCAGTCAAAATTCAGCCCTTATTCTACACCAGAGAATCCATACTGGAGAGAAACCATATGAATGTAATGAATGTGGGAAGACCTTCAGGGTTAGTTCACAGCTTATTCAGCATCAGAGAATTCATACCGAAGAAAGATACCATGAATGCAATGAGTGTGGCAAAGCCTTCAAGCATAGCTCAGGCCTTATTAGACACCAGAAAATTCATACTGGAGAAAAACCATATCTGTGTAATGAATGTGGGAAAGGCTTTGGACAGAGTTCTGAGCTTATCCGGCATCAGAGAATTCATACAGGGGACAAACCCTATGAATGTAATGAATGTGGGAAAACTTTTGGCCAGAATTCAGAGATTGTTAGACATATTAGAATTCATACTGGTGAGAAGCCCTATGTATGTAAGGAATGTGGGAAGGCCTTCAGGGGAAACTCAGAACTTCTTAGACATGAGAGAATTCACACTGGAGAGAAGCCCTATGAATGCTTTGAGTGTGGAAAGGCTTTCAGGCGGACCTCTCACCTTATTGTCCACCAGAGAATTCATACTGGAGAGAAACCACATCAATGTAATGAATGTGCAAGAACTTTTTGGGATAATTCTGAGCTGCTTCTCCACCAGAAAATTCATGTTGGAGAGAAACCGTATGAATGTAGCGAGTGTGAGAAAACATTTAGCCAGCATTCCCAACTTATCATACATCAGAGAATTCACACTGGAGAGAAGCCTTATGAGTGCCAAGAATGTCAGAAAACTTTTAGTCGGAGCTCTCACCTCCTCCGACATCAAAGTGTTCACTGTATGGAGTAATCTGCAAAATAGGAAAGCTTTTAGTGGGAAAGCTAAAGTCCAACTTATTCATTTGTTCATAATATGCACCCCACATATTCAAATCAAATGAATGGACAGAACCTCCCCTGTCCTTTCACTGATTATTTAAACAGTTGGTTGAAGAAGATGAGGCACCTTTTTTTTTTTTTTTAAGACTTGGGGTCTTGCTCTGTCGCCCAGGCTGGAATGCAGTGATGCAGTCATAACTCACTGCTTCCTTGAACTCCTGGGCTCAAGCAGTCCTCCTGTGTCAGCCTTCCAAGTGGCTAGGACTGCAGGCACTACTGAGAAACTTTTATGAATTAGTCATTCAGAAGTTTCAATGTATTGAGTTAAATTATAAAAGCTATTTCAGGCCTTAATTTCCCCTCTGTCCTTCCCTTCCCTTCCTTTCTCCTTCCCCAGTGAATCACATAACATGAAGGGTCAGTACCAGCCATCCTAAATTACTTTTCAGCAAAATTGTGAGAACAGGATTCTACCACCTCCTAAGAATGACAGAGTTGACTCATTGAATGTTACCCCCTGAAATATTAGAAAGTCATAAATTAGAAGACACACCTCATTCTACTGTCTACTGTTTAGCATTGGAATAATTTAGTAAGCTTTTATTAGCTTCAAAATCTTTCAGCCATGCTGTCAAGTTAGAAGATGGCAGCATTAATGAAGAGAAGCAGGAAGTGGTCATTTCACATCTGTTAGGCTTCCTTATTCATCCGAAGAGGCTGCCATGATGGAGGAACTGACAGGCAATTTACAACAGTATTGTAAGTGAAGGCCTTAGCATCCAGAGGGGCTGATTAGGCAACACTAGGGGGTAAACAATTGAAGTCAGACTATTCAGCATGGGCAGAAGCAGCTCTTCAGGAGCTGTCCAAAGTTCAGGGGTGCTCAGACTGCTCGCAAGAATTCTGCTGCATTCATTGTCGGCCCCAGCTCCTACTACTGCTGACAGATACTGTGACAGGAAGTAGCAAAGAGGACTGTGGCTTCACCTCTACCAGGCACCTGGCTACAGTGATGAGCCAGTTCACCTGATAACAAACCAGGGTCTGGCCTTGCCAAAGCACTTAAGTTCTCATGACCTGGACCCCACTGGAGGCACTGCCTTGGTCAGAATGTGGTAGCCTTTTCTTGGTTTTGCCCCTTGGCCTTGAAATTCTTTTTTCTTAAATAACTTTTAAAAAATAGAGCTAAGATCTTGCTGTGTTGCCCAAGCTGGTCTTGAACTCCTGGGCTCCAGCGATCTTTTTGCTTCAGCTTCTCAAAATACTGGGATTGCCGGTGTGAGCTACCGTGCCCGGCCTTAAAATTCCTCCTTCACCATTTTTGCTTGTTTTTCGTGTTCTCCTATATCTTATTTCTTTTTTAAGGAAAACACAGCTTCCATTTTTCATGTGTCTGTGTTTCTATGGCAGTGGTGTTAGTGGGTATTGCACTAATGCCTGGGATCTGGTCTTAGTGCTGGACCTTGAATAAGGCACTTCACCTGCTGGTCTCCAATTTTCTCATCTGTAAAATGGAGGAGTTGAACTAAATGATCTCTGAAGTTTCAACCAGCCCAGTAATTCCTTAAATCTTTAAAAATTTAACTTTATATCTCTTTATTGTTCTTTGATCTTGTCTTTGTTACACTAATATTAGTCACTAATATTTATTGAGTGTTTACTACATGACAGGTAGAGTGCCAGTTTACATTTTAATTTTCACATCATTTCTATGATGTGAGTCCTCATTTTTTAAAAGCTTTATAAAAGTATAATTTATATACCATAAAATTCAGCTGTTTTAAGTGTTCAGTTGAATGATTTTTAATTTACATAGTTACACAACCATCAATGATGTGGGTATTCTTACCCCAATTTAAAAGGAGGGGCAGAAGGGGCAATGTTAAGTGATTTACCCATGATTACACAGCTATTAAGTGCTAGAGCCAAGACTCCAAACCTGGTTGATGCTCTTAACCACTGTGCTGTGCTGCAGATAGGCAGATTCATCACTGCCTTATGTGAAATCCTGTGCACATTTTCTATTACTAATTTCTACATAGATTTGAATATAGTGAATTTAAATAATGTCCTTGGTAGCGGAACTGACCACAGCCAAAAAAAAAAAAAAAAAAATCCACCAAATGGTTTATTCTGTACTCCAACAGGTGTCTCGCAGGCTTATATCCTTGGTATCCTTGGTTTGAGAAAAGAGTTGTACAAATAGATGACTGCACAGCTTCCACATCCTTCCAGATACCTCTGCCTCTAACAGTCACACTCCAATAGGGAAAGTTCTTTGATTTACTTCTTCCCTTAGGATGATTACAAGTGTGTGCTCTCATTCCTTTTTTCATTGCTGGAGCACAAACTGAATTGCGCCCAGGCTATATCTTTCTCACATGAAACCTGGATCTCACCTGTCCCATGCCTGATTCCTGTGTTTGCATTTTTTTTTTTTTTTTTTTGTCTCTCCCTGTCCCCTGGGCTGGAGTGCAATGCCACAATCTTGGCTCACTGCAACCTCCACCTCCCAGGTTCTAGCAATTCTTCTGCCTCAGCCTCCTGAGTAGGTGGGATTACAGGCACATGCCACCACGCCTGGCTAATTTTTGTATTTTTAGGAGAGATGGGGTTTCACCATGTTGGTCAGGCAGGTCTCAAACTCCTGACCTCAGGTGATCCTCCGCCTCAGCCTTCCAAAGTGCTGTGATTACAGGCATGGGCCACCGCACCAGGCTGTTTGCATATTTTATTTCCATATTTACCTCTTGTCAGCCCTGATAGAGAATGTGGCGCCCCTTCAAGCTTCTCCTAAAAAGTCTATTCACACAAACATCCCCGAGCAATATGTACTTCACTGAAGATACTGTGTAAGAAGCGGAGAAGAGTTCACACTGCATTCTATTAGACGCTTGGTTCTCAGAAGTACCTTATTGGCCAAACCACCAATGTTTTTTCTGTTTGTCCTCCCCTCTCAAGGCTCAGCCACCTCACCTCCTGTTTTGCCTACCAGATATCCAATCCATCCCCTCACCTCCCCTGGGCCTAGCTCAATTACCTTCTTAAACCCATCACTGCTCAGCAAAATGTCTAGTTAACCATTCATTTAAACATTAGGAGGCAATTTAGTGACCTGTTGCACCTGAGCAGGTTCTTCAGGGGGATGTCTCATGACTCATTTCCAGAAAAATCTACCATACATAGATATACCCCTGCCCCAGAGATTTCTGGTGAATGAAATTACCTGCATCTTGTTATGTACACTATATGCAAATCCTGTAACCTCAATTCCCTGTCTTCTTAACACATCTTACCCAGAGATCTCAGGAAGATTCCTCTTTTCCTTCTGTTTGCCTCCCTCCCTCTTCAACTTACTTGGGAGTCAGCATCTGACCATAATCGTGACTGGTGATGATTTGTGCAAACACAATACTATCAAGGAAAATACATGAATTGTCTTAATTTTAGACCTTTTTTTAAAAAAAAAAAAAAACCGCACAGGCCTCACAATCTTAAAAGTTCTACCTAAATACCCAGAAATATCCTTCAGAATTTTTGAAGCTATGCCCGTGTACATTTTTTTCTTCCCGAATTTTAATGGTATACTAACACCTTAGGTAAATAAAATATTTCTTTACAATGTTATTGATATAATGCCTTTGTAATGTTTGTTATTCCAAGTTGCATTATGTTTCATTATGGTTTTTTAATAGGACTTAACCAGTTTTGTCCCCACCTTGTAAGTTTCATCTTACCTAAGTACCCCAATATGCTTGTTACCTTCTGGTTTTGCCTACAATGTACATTATGTGTCCTTGATCATCTGCTTTGCTTGGTGAGATCCTTCATCTTAAATAACAGGACAAGTGTTACCTACTGTGTGTGCGTTGGTATACACATTTTACTTCATTATTAGCAACTTAATGTAAGATATTTTCAGACCATTTGTATGGCCTTTAAAAAAATCACCTTATTACTGAAATGTCAGGGTGGCAGTGGGTGCTGCTGATTGTTTACCATTCAATTTTTACAAGTGTTCTGATTCCTGGCGGATGTCAGGTTCTTAATGCTGTTACATCAATAATCTCCTTTGAGAACCAGGAAAGCTCTGCCAGGCAGTTTCAGAGAATTCATGGATCTTCTGAAACCCGTCCTCTGACCCCCTGTTCCCGAAATTAAACCTTTATCTTAAAAAAAAAAAAAAAAAAGGCTGGGCGCGGTAGCTCGTGCCTGTAATCCCAGCACTTTGGGAGGCCAAGGTGGGCAGATTATGAGGTCAGGAGTTCAAGACCATCCTGGCCAACATGGTGAAACCCCATCTCAAAATAAAAATTAAAAATTAAAAAAAAAAGGGGTCCAAAGTGGCTCCCGCCGGAGGTCATGGCGCTCTCGAAGGCGAGGTCATCAGTTCAAGGCTAACCTGAGCAACCTCATAAGCTTAAACTGATTGGCAAAAAAAGAAGAAAAAAAAAAAAATTAAAAAAAAAAAAAAAAAAGACAAGTCACTTCCACAGTAACTTCCTCTTCGCGGCACCCCTCAGCTTTTGGAATGAATCTATGTCAAAAAGACTTGCCCGGGTGAACCCCTGGAAATGGAGGTCGGCAGGACCCCAGTAAAAGCCCAGTGAGAAGGGGCGGGGACGATTCTGGCGATCACATGAGAAAGGGAGCAGCCTCAGCAGGGCAGGTGGACACAGTCGTCGGCCACTCGCTGGCCACCTGGGACGTGAAGCACCTGCACTGGGCGCGGCGCCTCAATTAGTCCAACGGAGTCAGCGCTGCGGAACAGGAGAGAGCTTGGTGTCTGAAACGCAGGGCGGCCATGCAGCCTGGCGCCCACCTCTCCCTCTCCCCGAAGCGCTGAGCCAGCACGAATGCACAGAAGGGAAGGATGAAGGTGGCTTGAGGGCAGAGGCCGACCGGACGGTGGAAGCCCATTTCAGGAGCCCCGGGACCCGAGTTCGAGCCCCTTCCCAAGCCCCCGGGCGTCTTTCCCACGCCGTGGTCTCCCAGCCCTGGGAATTGACGGTCACTCCACTCTCCACAGTACTGCGGACGAGAACACCAGTTGTTTTTAATAGTTGATAATACGCTTTACAGCAGGTGTCTTCTGCTAGACCCAATTCTGTTAGTACTCATGGTCTCCAAAAAGTCCCCCAAATGCGCTCGTCGGCCAGCCTGTCTGGTATCCGAGAGGTAGAAGCCTCAGCGGTGCAGGCGGAAGCGTGTCTGTCGCGGGGCTGGGAGGACCGCTCGTTAGCGCAGGACCTCGGCGGCCGGAGGCGGGACTCGAGGGCTGAGGGGCGGAGACCAGGGGGTCGGAAGCTGAGGGCTGAGGGACCGCCGGGCGGGCTCACGGCCGCGTGCGCGGTCTGTGGGGCGTCCGCTAAGACTCCCACGTGCGTGTGCTAGTGGGGTGGGGTGGCAGTTGGGGGCAAATCAGTGGGCCTGTGCTTTTGTCTCTCCGCCTTCTGGTATTTGCAGTTTGTGAGAGCATTTCACATCCCACGGATATTTACAGAGTCCCTCCCGTGGCCCAGGCTTTTCTGGGCACCAAGACAGGCCTAGTATAACTATTTAATATCTAATTATTACAATTAAACATTCGCAGTAGGAAAGTATAGACTCAAAACACGAAAGGCGGGGTTGGCTTTGGTAAGAAGTCATTGAAGTCACTAAGACTGTTGGAGGGGCTAAGAAGATAGGTATGAAAGTTAGGAGTGTCAGAGACAGTGGAGTTGATTATTTGAGGCCTTTTGCTAAGAGGGACGGTGGTTATGCGCTGAGAGTGGGCAGAGGTCTGGGAGGCTTTCGGGGCAGTTTAACCAGAGAATCAAGAAAGGAGCAAATCTAGGCTAGGCACGTGGCTCACGCCTGTAATCCTAGCACTTTGGGAGGCTGAGGTGGGCGGATCATATGTGGTCAGGAGTTTGAGACCAGCCTGGTCAACATAGCGAAACCCTGTCTCTACTAAAATTACAAAATTAGCTGGGCATGGTGGTGTGTGCCTGTAATCCCAGCTACTCGGGAGGCTGAGGCAGGAGAATCGCTTGAACCCGGGAGGTGGAGGTTGCAGTAAGCCGAGATCATGCCACTGCCCTCCAGCCTGGGCGACAGAGAGGGACTCTCTCAAAAAAAGCAGCCGGGCACGGTGGCTCACACCTGTAATCCCAGCACTTTGGGAGGCTGAGGCAGGTGGATCAGGAGGTCAACAGATCGAGACCATCCTGGACAACATGGTAAAACCCCGTCTCTACTAAAAAATACAAAAAGTAGCTGGGTGTGGTGGCGCGTGCCTGTAGTCCCAGCTACTTTGGAGGCTGAGGAAGGAGCATTGCTTGAATCTGGGAGGCGGAGGTTGCAGTGGGCCGAGCTTGCCACTGCACTCCAGCCTGGTGCCTGACAACAGAGAAAAACTGTCTAAAAAAAAAAAAAAAAAGAAAGAAAAGAAAGAAAGAAAGAAAAGAAAAAGTAAAACAAAAGCAGCAAATGCTTCTATGCCTTTGGTCATTTGGGTATGTTGAGCATTCTCCAAGCTGTACATAAACAGCTTGGAGATAGATGGGGGTGCGGAGGCACATTAGTTGGAGTAGGCACTATAAATCTAGGTTCCAGTCCACTGACTCTGAAGTCGGGGGAACCCCAGGAGTGCCCTGAATGTGGGAAGGACCTGGGAGAGCTTGATGCCTTCAGGTGGGGATGGGAGATTCCTTGGCATTCAAGTTCACGCTGGTGAGAAACACTACTATGTAGAGTATGGGAAAGCCTTGAGATGGAATTTTCACCTTGGAGTTCATCGGGAAATTCACACTGGAGAGGACCTTTGATGCCAGTGTGGAAAAGACCAGCCCAGTTCTTATCAACTTCAGCATCTGAGCATGCACAGTGGCCAGGGATATGGGGACTTAACTCACTGTAGGACACTTTCATTCTAACATGAAATTTTAATCTTGCCTCTTCTTCATTTCTGGCAGTAATTTTGCTTTGCTCCTTGAGGACAGGGCTAACTCTTGTAGAAGAGTGTTCACCCCAGGGTTGTCAATCATTAATAAATGAATGAATTAATAAATAAGTGGCAGTAAATTATCTTATTTTTCTATGATGTGGGCAAGTACACTGTTCAACAGGTGAACCAAAACCTTTCTTTCGTTGGAATTGATCATAGCATTTACCCAAAAACAAGATAGCCCCAGGTTGCTTTAAACACATCCCTGCTGGGCTTGGTGGCTCACACCTGTAATCCCAGCATTTTGGGAGGCCGAAGTAGGTGGATCACCTGGGGTCGGGAGGTCGAGATCAGCCTGACCAACATGGAGAAATCCTATCTCTACTAAAAACACAAAGTTAGCCAGGCGTGGTGGCGCATGCCTGTAATCCCAGCTACTCGGGAGGCTGAGGCAGGAGAATCGCTTGAACCCGGGAGGCAGAGGTTGCAGTGAGCCGAGATGGTACCACTGCACTCCAGCCTGGGCAGCAAGAGCAAAACTCCATCTCAAAAAAAAAATCCCTTTTACTTGCAACCTTCAGTCCTGAAAAACAAAGGAAGAGGAAGTCATATCTTTTGCCTGTATCATCCTCAAAAATATTTCTTCCATACTCCATGCCAGCCTCCTGCCCATCCTCCCCATGCTTTGGAAATCACAGCTCTCATCATACCACTTATTTCTCAGGACTGTTCTCCCCACACCCAACCTGTCCCTGGAGCCCAAGGCATCCCGGTCCCAGAACCTCCCATCCCAGCACTGGCACCGGCACCATGCACCAGCGACCCTGATCTACTTGTACTCACATATACCCAGCACTTTGATGCCTCCTTGCCTTTACAGACTCCATCCCTCCTCCCAGGGCCACTGTCTATTTAACACCCATCCCCACCCTTGTTTACCTCCAGCTTCAAGGACCATTGCAATGGATTTGTCCTCTGAGGCCTTCCCTGACTCTCCTCCAATCCTCCTGGGAGTAGCAGTTTCCTGCCACCATACCCAGCTAATTTTTTGTATTTTTAGTATAGACAGGGTTTTACCATGTTGGCCAGACTAGTCTTGAACTCCTGCCCTCAGGTGATCTACCCACCTTGGCCTCCCAAAGTGCTGGGATTACAGGCATGAGCCACCGTGCCAGTCTGATTATATTTAATTTTAAATTTAATTAATTAAATTTTACATTGGTTCCTGGGCAGCAGAGATAGTCTCATTACTGGGACCAAGCACTCATCTGTCTGGGAAGTGTTGCTGACTAGGACAGTGCATTTGGTTTTCTCTGCTCCACAATTCAAGTTGGAAATGCAAAAGTCCCACTTTTCTTCCTTGCAGCTCTGAGTAAAGGATGCCATGTGTGCAGACTCTGAAATCATATTTAGATTCAGATCTTGGCCGTGCTACTTACCAATTATGTGGCCTTGGACAAATTATTTCATCTATTTTAGTTTTCTTCATCTGTAACTTTGCAATATAAAGCCTCCTTCTGAAGTTTAGTAGTATAGTTGAAGCACTGCTTCAGTAATGTTCAGGTGCCTGGAAGAGAAAACTGACTCCTTTAACCCTAAGCCCAAAGCTTCCCCGTTTCCACGTGCTCCCTGGCCTACAGCTCTCCTCCCTCACCCCCAGGGCTTATGGCCACACTGTCTGTAAGACAGCCACTCTGTCTGTCACCTGTGGCCTTGGGGTCCTCATGGGTATGTGCAGAGGTAGGTGCCTAAGAAAGGCCTGTAGGATGGGGTTCCCCAACAGAGCCTAAGGCTCTTGGGAGGAAAATGTGGACCCACCTGCACTGTTTGGCTTGAAGCATAAATTGAGCTAGAGTCTAGAGGGAGGGTAGGCTGTTTTCTTCCTGGCAGTCAGATCGATCCCCAAAAGTCCTGATCTTACCCCCTTCATACTTTTCAAGTCTGTCTCCTTTTCTACATCCACATGGCCACTCCCTCAGTTTAGGTAGTAGTATTACTTGGAGGTTACAAGTCTCCTAGTGAGTCTGTTTTCAATTTTCCACACTGTAGATGATCTTTCTCAAGTGCCTGAGTAACTGATGGTGTCACTCCCTAGTAATGGCTTCCCACTGCTCTTAAATCCAAAATCCCTTATGTGGCTTAAAAGGGCTAAATAGCTGCTAAATTTCATTTCTCCAGCCTCATCTAATGCATTTGTCCCTTGCACTCTATACAAGTACACTAAAAAATATTAATTTTTTTGAGATAGAATTTTGCTATGTTGCCCAGGCTAGACCACCTCAGCCTCCTACGTAGCTAGGACTGTAGGCACCTGCTACTGTGCCTGGCTTGTGTTGGTAAATATTTAACAACTAGCTAACAGCTAGTTCAAAACCAAAATAAAAAGTCTCTCATTTACTGTGTATGCTGATTTCCATAGTGTGAATACTCCCATCATGGTTAATTTCAATGCAGATTTGAGAAGTGATGTGCAAAATTGGCTCTTGCCAGCCTTTATAGACCAGCTCTAGCACAACACTGGAATAGCCACACCCTAATCAATAAGGTCTGAATTTCGATATTGTTCAGGGGGATGGGGGCTCTTCTAAGTTTACTTCTTGAGAATTCTCTCTCAGCCCTAGAGGTAGTAGTAGTAGCTGTTCCCTTTTCTGCTATTTCTGTATCTTTTAACACAGGGTCTCACTCCGTCACACAGGCTGGGGTGCAGTGGTATGATCATGACTTATTGCAGCCTCAACCTCCTGGGCTCAGGTGATTCTCCCACCTCAGCCTCCCAAGTAGCTGGGACTACAGGCACACACCACCACACCTGGCTAATTTTTTGTCTTTTTGAAAAGATGGAGTTTCATCATGTTGCTTGCTCAGGGTGGTCTTGAACTCCTGGGCTCAAGTGATCTGCCCACCTCAGCCTCTCAAAGGCTGGGATTACAGGAGTGAGCCATCATGCTTGTCCTATTCCTATATTCTTTTTGTTGAGATGGAGTCTTGCTCTGTCACCCAGGCTGGAGTGCAGTGGCATGATCTTGGCTCACTGCAATCTCTGCCTCCCAGGTTCAAGCTATTCTTCTACTTCAGCCACCCAAGTAGCTGGGATTAAAGGCACACATCGCCATGCCGGCTATTTTTTTTTAAACATATTTTTAGTAGAGATGGGATTACACCATGTTGGCCAGACTAGTCTCAAACTCCTGACCTCAAGTGATTCTCCTGCCTCGGTCTCTCAAAGTGTTGGGATTACAGGCATGAGCCACCACACCCAGCCCTTAAATTCTTTAGAGATTTATTTATTCCCTTTAGCAGCTAATCCCTTTTTGCTAATACTTCTTTAAAGTTTCTTCAAATTTTCTGTCCCCTGACCGACACTTGCAGATGTGACCCTGTCTGAGCAGGCAGACTAGTATGGGTCTGAGCACTGCGGCTCATGCCTGTAATCCCCATACTTTGGAAAGCCAAAGTAGGAGGATTCCTTGAGGCTAGGAGTTTGACACAGCTTGGGCAACATAGTGAGACTCCATCTCTACCAAAAAACAAACAAACAAAAAAACCTGGACCAAAGACCCATTCACAATAAATACCAATATAACTAACACTTCCCAAGCAGCTGCTCAGTGCCAGGTTAAAAATTCTAATGAAGTAGGACAGGGACAGTGGCTCACACCTTTAATCTCAGCATTCTGAGAGACTGAGGTGGGGAGATTACCAGGTCAGGAGTTCCAGACCAGCCTGGCCAATATGGTGAAACCTCCATCTCTACTAAAAATACAAAAATTAGCTGGGCATGGTGGCGCACACCTGTAGCCCCAGATACTTGGAAGGCTGAGGCAGAAGAATCGCTTGAACCCGGGAGGCGGAGGTTGCAGTGAGCTGAGATTGTGCCACTGCGTTCCAGCCAGGGCAACAGATCAAGACTCCATCTGAAAAAAAAAAAAAAACAAATTCTAATGAAGTAGATGTTATTGGTGGGCAAACTGGGCAGTTCAGAATCTCGCCCAAGATCATGCTAGAAAGGAGAAGCAAAACAACTTGGCTATTACTTGCAGCCAGTGGCATTGTAATTGATATCGGTATCTTAATCAAAGGACATGAAGGGATGATCTACAGGTGGAACTAAGTAAACAGTTTTTCCTAAATTAAGAAAGACACAGGAAAAATCTTAAGAAGCTTATAACTTTTATGGGATCCAGTCCTAAAGTAGATTAGAGCGACACAAAATTCTGTCTGGAGCATTCTCCCCTTCAATTCAATGCAAAGGCTCTTTTCTGGCATGAACTCTCCGATGTCTAATGAGCTCTGAGCACCATCCATAAGCTTTCCCACATTCTTTACAAATAAAAGGTTTCTCTCCACTGTGAATTCTCCGATGCTGACTTAGATATGAGCTTTGACTAAAGGCCTTCCCACACTCATTACACTCATAGGGCTTCTCTCCTGAATGAATCCTTTGATGCTGAACAAGATGAGCACCCCACCTGAAGGCCTTCCCACATTCAGGACATTCGAAGGGTTTCTCTCCTGTATGAATCCTCTGATGCTGACCGAGGTTTGAGCTCTGTTTGAAAGTTTTCCCACAGTCACTACACTTATAGGGTTTCTCTCCAGAATGAACTCTCTGGTGGACAACAAGATGTGAGTTATAAATGAAGGTTTTACCACATTCACTACATTCATGGTCTTTCTTCCCTGTGGGAATTTCCTTATCGGTGACAACCATCTGTCTGAAACTTTTCCCCTGGGCAGGGGACCACCTCAGTCTCTCTGCTTTGGGATTTCTCTGCTGCAGTTCTAAGGTACCCTCAGAGGTAGCTTCAAATGTAGAGGTGTCAGTAGCAAGTCTTTCTGAGAACACCTGTGATTCCACTTCGGTAACAGGTGGTTGTGGCAATGATTCTTTGTCCTTGGGCTCTGGGCCATCTTCTGTAACAACTGACAGAAAATGTAAATATACCTGTTCTGAATGTATGAAGAAACAACACTTAGATTAAAATTTACAGTTCTGGAATAAAAACAAATGCTTAAAAACTACTATATATGAGACAAAGATGGGAAGAATATTTACTTAGCTATTACCAACAGTTATCTCTTGGTGATGGGACTACACAGAGGAGTGGGTTTCTTCTTTTTAATTTCTCCCATTTATTTGCCTTTTTCCCCTAATTTTTCCATAGTGAAACACTAGAGAAGTTTTATTGAAAAAATAAAAGCAGCCTGGCATGGTGGCTCCTGCCTGTAATCCAAGCACTTTGGAGGCCAAGCTGGGCGGATCACCTGAGGTCAGGAGATCAAGACCAGCCTGACCAACATGGTGAAACCCTGTCTTAAAAAAAAAAAAAAAAAAGAAAAAGAAAAAAGAAAAGCAATTATGATGCACAGTCCTTTTAGGATTTCCCATATTTTCAAGAAATTAGGGAGTGGTCAACTGATGTGTGAAGGAAGAAGAATCATTAGGGTTAGGAAAAAGGATGTTTCTAAAGGCAGAAAAACTGCCCTTCCTGGATCTGTAACCTTCACCTCTTCCCTTCCATTTCCCAGCTGCATAAATCTATAGCCTCTTTAGAGGAAGCTCAAATAGCTGCCTCCTTTATCAAAAGGAAGACTTCCAGCTCCCTGCCTCCTGTTTGATGCTCTCTGCCTTTCTCTTCCTTAAAAAAAAAAAAAAAAAATGAAGAGTGCATTGCCTTTTTTGTTTTTAAATGTCCATGGCACATTTTATGTTTTATCTGTTGTAGTGTTCTCTATTGCCTAAAGAGAACAGAAACTAATTGTTTTAAGATAACTCAAGATCATTTGATTTTTTTCTTTTTCTTTTTTTCCAATAATGGCTATAAGCAATTTTTTTTTTTTTTTTTTTTTTTTTTAAGACAGAGTCTTGTTCTGTTGCCCAGGTTGGAGTGCAGTGGGATGATCTCTGTTCACCACAACCTCTGCTTTCCTGGTTCAAGTAATTCTCGTGCCTCCTCCTCCCCAGTAGCTGGGATTACAGGCATGTACCACCACACCAGGCTAGTTTTTGTATTTTTAGTAGAGACGGGGTTTCACCATGTTTGCCAGGCTGGTCTTGAACTCCTGACCCCAAGTGATTCACTGACCTCAGCCTCCCAAAGTGCTGGGATTACAGGTGTGACCCACTGTGCCCAGCCAAGAACATTTGAGTAAAAAAAAAAAAATCATTTTTTCAGGTTAAATGCTATGGTTTAAAACAATCTGAAATATGCTTGCTATAAAAAAACAACAGAATAGCTAGCTTCATTTTGAAAGTAAAGTAATAAAATTGATAAATGAATAGAGGCTTACTAAACAGAAGTAAAGGAGACAAGAAAAAGTCTGGAAAAAAGGCAAGGAAGAAAGAAGAGCTAAGAAGTAGAAACATACTTTTGGGACAGAGTCTAATTAATCTCCATTTCTATTTTTTCCCACTGTGTAACTAATAAGAATTTGATTTTTCAAATGCTTTGGTTTGGTGATAATCATAGGGAGGTTATGGTATAAAACCAAATATCAAGTAGACTCTTCTTATTTAGCAACAGATTCACAAAATGGTCAAGATGCTGCAGAGGCCAGCAAGGACAGTTCACACTCCTGAGGCTGTAAGTCTAGTGTTTGCCACTGGGAGAGAGGAGAGGTTGTTTGTGGGTATATATGCAGGCCAAGAAGGAAGTTTTTGTAGTGAATCTGAGGGGTAGAAGGTAAGGGCACATATAAGAGTTTCAAATATGGCTGTTTACCTGAGGAAGAGGTGTTAGATAAAGGTGATGACAGGCTGCATCTCACATAGGAGTGCTTTATGGCTTAAAAAGTATGTTTTGCAAGGCCTCAGGAAGTGAAAAAAAAAAAGATCTCAAGGCTGGCCTTTAGCTCAGGGCAGAGTTATTATAGACTAAGAGTTAAGTGCAGTGGAGATGATAAGGCATATGTGAATGAATTATTTTCCTGGTCCTGATTTAGGGCTCTCTAAAGTTAAGAGATGCTGGCCAGGCTTTATATCCAGATATGACACCAGTTCAACTTAATCCTCAGAGATATTTTATGAGGTAGGTTATTCTTACTCCTAATTTTATGAGTGATGAAATGGGCAAAGTCTCTCACCTAAGAGATAAGAAGAGTAAGGCTGTGATGATGATACCAAACATTTGAACACCTACTACTATTTACCCTTTATAGGTACTAGCTACTGTGCCCTTTCTCTTCTCCCTCCCCACAGAAACCTGCTCCTCACCAGTCTTTGGGAAAGGCTGGGTCTCCTTAGGCTGGAGCTGGATGCTCACTGCTTCCTGGGCCGCTCCCCGAGATTCCTTCTTCTCCCATGGCTCTTCCTGTGCAAGTCCATGTGCAGGGCCTGGGACCTGGAGGTGATCAGGCACCGCTCAGTTGATATGGGACCAAAGCTTCCAAGGAGACTTTAGAGAGCCTCCTCGGAGTCAGCACAGGGGAAGGAAGAGGAGCTAGAGTCAGTCTCTTTCTCATTCAGGGCTTGAGGGCAGAACAGACAGACACAGAAACACATACTAACTGCTCTACTTGGCCCAAGAGAGGTTTGAACTTGGCAACTCCCCCTACTGCTGCCCCTCTCTTCAGCCTGAAGGTCATTGATCTGGCTCCCATAACAGACCAAATCCCCCTTCCCACCTGCAGCTCTGGTTCAAGTCCTTTCTCTAAATCCTCCAGCACAGTCACAGCCTCCTCTCCACTCTTAGGGTGATGTCCGCGCACCCAGGATTGGAGCTCCTCAGGCAGGATGGTCAAGAATTGTTCGAGCACCAGTAACTCCAGGATCTGCTCCTTGGTGTGTTTCTCTGGCCTCAGCCACTCAGAGCAGAGTACCTGTAGTTGGCTCAAGGCCTCCCGGGGACCAGGAGTCTCCTGGTAGCGGAGTTGCCTGAAGCGTTGGCGGAAGATCTCTTGACTGGCAGAGTAGTTCCCAGGTAGCCTGGTCTCATACTCACAAGACTGTTCCTCTTCCTTTGGTTCCATCATCATAATCTTCTCTTGTCCTTGTATACCCTGAAGGGCCAGAGTTTCAGCTGCTGTTAGTGATATAGCCATTCTAGTCCGGACTAGCTCTGCAGAAGGCTCATACCAGCTGGAATCTTGCAAGATCCCCCTGTAACATAAGAATAAATCATTCCTCTTCTTTTTTTTCTTTTCTTTTTTTTTTTTTTTTTTTTTTTGAGACAGAGTCTTGCTCTGTCACCCAGGCTGGAATGCACAATCCACAATGGCACAATCTCAGCTCACTGCAACCTCCACCCCCAGGGTTCTAGTGATTCTCCTACCTCAGCCTCCCAAGTAGCTGGGATTACAGGCACTAGCCACCACACCTGGCTTATTTTTTAGCATTTTTAGTAGAGATGGGGTTTCGCCATGTTGACCAGGCTGGTCTTCAATTCCTGACCTCAGGTGATCAACCTGCCTTAGTCTCCCAGAGTGCTGGGATTACAGGCGTGAGCCACCGTGCTCAGGCTCCTCTTCTTTTTTTCATTCATTAAACATACACTCAGCACCACAAAAAGGCAAACCCTGTACCATACTCTTTACTCCTGGTTTCTCTTCCACTCCTCCCCAGAATTCTGCTGCACTAAGTCAATTTTTTTTGAGAAACTTGCAGTATGGTAGAGATGGAGATATAAAGTGGTTTTCTCCAATACAACTAAATGAATGCCATTAACAGGAAAAAAACGTCAAGAAAAAAAAAAGTTCTGGGGCCAATGGGAAGAGATGACTACTGGGGAGAAACTAGTTTGAAGCAAAACTCAAGTTTCCAGATGCAGAGCCCAGAGCCAAGCAGCTTTCAGTGCAAAGTGGGATGTGTTGGGGAGGCAGCCTTCTCTGAGATGGCTTCTCCCACTTTAAAAAATTTCTGAAGTGGCCAGTCACAGTGGCTCATGCCTGTATTCCCAGCACTTTGGAAGGCTGACAAGGGGGGATCACCTGAGGTTGGGAGTTCGAGACCAGCCTCACCAACATGGAGAAACCCGGTCTCTACTTAAAATACAAAATTAGCCAGGTGTGGTGGTGCATGCCTATAATCCCAGCAACTCTGGAGGCTGAGGCAGGAGAATCACTTGAACCCAGGAGGTGGAGGTTTCGGTGAGCCGAGAAACCAGCCTGGGCAACAAGAGTGAAACTCCACCTTAAAAAAAAAAAAAAATTCTGAAGTAGTAGCAGCAGCAAAAGAAGAATATAAGTCCCCTCTAAGGAGTTGGATCTCATTCAAATGCTGAAGATTTGTACCAGGGCCCAATTAAGGGGCAGCTATGAAAAAGTCTTGGATACAGTGACCTGCGTCAAGGAAATCTGCCAGGTGTAAACCAAGAAAGCATCTGAGATAGGTCTCAACCAATTTAGTGGTTATTTTGCTAAGGTTGAGGATGTACCCAGGAAAAAGACACACAGACCATAGTAGGATCTGTGGCCTGCCCTTTTTCCAAAGAGGGTTTTGAGGGCTTCAATATTTAAAGGAGAGAAAGCTGGCAGGAGGGGAAGAAGGAGAGAAGAGGAGGGAGGGTAGGTAATGAGATAAGTGGCCACATTCTTGTGAGGATTTGATTAGAGTTCACTGAATCCACATGTTGCACGTGCAAAGAGGAAGTCAATTATGAATTTGTCTCGTGCATAAAACAAAGTAGACATAGAGGAAGAAGTCAAATATGCTTTGTCTCTGGGTGGGTGGAGGGAGATTTCTAGTCTTGTCTGGTGAAGATGGGCTCTTCTTTCCATTGCCAGGTCATCTAGGGGGTTATGTGGCTTTCTATCTTGCAGTTATCGGTTTAGGAACAAAAGGAAAAGCAGTTTTTTGTTTTTTCGTGACTCAGTTTCCAAGCTTAACTTTTCCCTTGGCATAGTAAGTTTGGGGTCCCGAGATTTTATTTTCCTTTCACACGGGGAGGAGGTGGAAGGCACCAGAGGCCACGAAAGGAGCACAAAGGGGGACTGCTGGCAGAAGACAAAGGAGGCGCAAAGAAAAACGCAGAGCCGGAGTCTCCCGGGTGATGCCTGGAGACGCTGGCCCCAGCAGCAGAACTTCTCTATCCCAGCCTCCGGCAGTTGCCCTCCCAGGAGCCTGGGAAGGGGGCTGTCGTCCATGTCAGGTACAACTCACTCTCCCACCCTTCACTCCTTTAGCCAGGGATCTCGAGAAAAGAGAAGAGGGACATCAAGACCCCCCTCCACGGCACGTGACGCAACGCGGGCAGCGCAGCGTGGGCACTGTGGGCGACCCAAACCCCTCTCTACACACACCCGCGGAGCTACCTGCCAGGCCTGCTCACTGCAGAGCCGCTGCGGGACGGGCAAAAGCCAGAACGCGAGGTGGACCTCTGGCAAGCCGCCGCCAACACTCACCTCACAGGACCAGGAGGTTCCATCGGGGCGCTGCCACGAACCGCGCCACTTCCAGCCCTCACCCCAGCTGTGGGTTTGCGCCTGCGCAGGTCTCAGCCTCGGCCTCCATCTCCCAGAAGCCTCCGCGCCGCCGACTCTCGCTAGCGGACTCGGACCCGGGCGCGTGGGCGCTGCAGAGGGGTTGGGAGGCCGGGAACCGGTTCCTGGACGTGAGCGGAGCAGGAAAGAGCGCGCCGCCTGCACGTCTGGACTTGGCGCGGCTGGGTGCCCTGGAGGCCCCTGGGAATTGCAGTCCTTGCGCAGGTGGAGAGCGAGCCCTTGTAAGCGGGTGACTCCACCAAGTTTGGCGAGTCTCTTGTGGAATTGTACCTTTAACGGGCAGTGCTGGCGGACAGAAGTCAGAGAAATTCTGGCCTTGTACATGGCCTGTGGTAACGCTTCTGTATGTTCTGTTTTTCAGTTACCTCTTCCCAGACCTGATGAGCGGGGTCACAACTGTGGAAGACGGTCCCCTCCACGAAAAAATATTCCCTAACCATTGGCCTATACAATTCCTCGGGCGTAGTGGGAGGGGAGGAGAAAAAAAGAATTCCAAGGTTTCATTTTATTGGGATGGGGGAAATAGGGATTGATTTTTTTTATTTATTATTATTATTATTTTTTTGAGAGATGGTGGCCAACCTGGTGAAACCCTGTCTCTACTAAATTTACAAAAAAGTGAGCTGGGCATGGTGGGGGGCGCCTGTAGTTCCCAGCTACTCGGGAGGCTAAGGCAGAAGAATCGTTTGAATCTGGGAGGCAGAGGTTGAAGTGAGCTGAGATCGTGCCACTGCACTCCAGCCTGGGCGACAGAGCGAGACTCCGTGTCAAAAAAAAAAAAGTTTAATTAAAAATAAAAATAAATGAATCCATCTCACTATCAAATTTGCAGGGTATTTATTGATCCAGTCTCTCAATACTTTTATTTTTATTTTTATTTATTTTTATTTTTTTTGAGACGGAGTTTCGCTCTTGTTACCCAGGCTGGAGTGCAATGGCGCGATCTCGGCTCACAGCAACCTCCGCCCCCTGGGTTCAGGCAATTCTCCTGCCTCAGCCTCCTGAGTAGCTGGGATTACAGGCACGTGCCACCGTGCCCAGCTAATTTTTTGTAATTTTTAGTAGAGACGTGGTTTCACCATGTTGACCAGGATGGTCTCGATCTGTTGACCTCGTGATCCACCCGCCTCGGCCTCCCAAAGTGCTGGGATTACAGGCTTGAGCCACCGCGCCCGGCCTCTCAATACTTTTATAAAACAGCTTAATTCTAGTCTCTCCAAGAAAAATTGTTATTCAACTATGTTGTATCATAGTAACAGTTCTCAGATTATTAAATTTGTTTCTCCAAGATACAGTATCCTTGAAAATGCGTATAGATCCTTCCCCTTTTTCTTCCAAATCCTTGCAATTTACTTATACTGGGCCAAGTCCCTTCTGACTTCAAGTAGGATCAGGAAGTGCAGAATCTGGTAATCCTAAGGTCATGGTTGGGGGATATATTATCTTTTTTCCTTCAAAGTGCCATTGATTATCAGGTAATTCACTATTTACCTATCTCTCGCCACAATGAAAGTTCTTTTTTTGTTTTTTTTGAGATGGAATTTCACTCTTGTTGCCCAGACTGGAGTGCAGTGGCGGGATCTCAGCTCACTGCAACCTTCACCTTCAGGGTTCAAGTGATTCTCCTGCCTCAGCTTCCCAAGTAGCTGGGATCATAGGTGCCTGCCACTCCGCCCAGACAATTTTTGCATTTTTAGTAGAGACAGGGTTTCACCATGTTGGTCAGGCTAGTCTCAAACTCCTGACCTCATGATCCACCCACCTCAGTCTCCCAAAGTATTGGGATTACAGGTGTGAGCCACTGTGGCTGGCAAAAGTACTTTTTCTTATTAATATTGTGTCACTGGTTGCGGTGGCTCACACCTGTAATCCCAACACTTTGTAAGGCCAAGGCAGGAGGATTGCTTGAGCTTAGGAGTTTGAGACCAGCCTGGGCAAAATAGCAAAACCCTGTCTCTACAAAAAAGACAAAAATTAGCTGCATGTGGGGGTGCATGCCTGTAGTTCAAGCTACTTGGGAGACTGAGGCAGGGAGATTGCTTGAACCAGGGAGATCAAGGCTGCAGTAAGCTGTGATCATGCCACTGTACTCCAGTCTGGGTGAAAGAGCAAGACACTGTCTCAAAACCAAACAAAAACAAAATTAATATTTTGTGTCTCTAAAGCAAAAATATTCTGGATTCTGGAAGTAGTCTAAGATCTAAGCCTCCAGCTATAATGAATGATAGCTCTTTTATCACATAATTTAGATTGGTACTCAAGTCAGCACTGTTATCAGTTACGTGCAGGCATCGATCACTGTGTTCCCTAGACTTCTGACCCTGGAGTTAAAGGGAAGAGGAGGAGAGTGAAGATGTAGATTGAAGAGCATGAAAAGGGGGGAATTTTTATGCTACAGGAATAAACAAATTAAAAAAAAAAAAGAAAAGGGGGGAAGGCAGAGTTGGTCCCAGAGAACTGAGAAAAATTAACTAGATCTAGGCTCTTGCTATAGCCAGCTGCCAACCCTTAATTCCTGCATCACAGCCAAGCCTAAGCACACCAGGCTAGTAGATCCCAGATTGCAGCTGAGCCTTACTGTATGAACCATGCCTTTGCACAGAGCATTTCAGTCCTATATGCAAAAAGGAGGGAGACAAAGAGGATTTTTAGGGCAGAAACTAATCTGTTTGATATTTCAATCGTGGGTACATGTCATTATACATTTGTTCAAATCCATAGAATGTGTAACACCAAGCATGAACCCTAATGTAAACTATGGACTTTGGGTGATTATGATGTCCCAGTGTAGGTTTGTCCACTGTAATAAATGAACTACTGTTGTGGGGGATGTTATAATGGGGGAGGCTATGCATGTGTGGGGCCAGGAGATATATGAGAAATCTCTGTGTACCTTCCTTTCAATTTTGCTGTGAACCTAAAACTGCTCTTAAAAAAAAAAAAAATGAAGTCTTTAAAATAAAATAAGGCTGGGCAAGGTAGCTCACACCTGTAATCACAGTACTTTGGGAGGCAGAGGACGGTGGACTGCTTGAGGCCAGGAGTTCCAGACCAGCCTAGGCAATACAGTGAAACCCCGTCTCTACTATGAATGCTAAAATTAGCCAGGTGTGATACATGCCTGTAATCTCACCTACTTGGGAGGTTGAGGTGGGAGGATAACTTGACCCCAGGAGTTTGAGGCTTCAGTGAACTAAGATTAGGCCACTGCACTCCAGCCTGGGCAATCAGAGTGAGACCCTGTCTCAAATAAATAAATAAATAAAAATAAAAATAATAACTAGAATAAAGGGAATGCTATGGACTGAACTGCATCCCTCCCAAATTTACAGACTGAAGCCCTAACCCCTAATGTGATGATAACTGGAGATGGATCCTTTGGGAGAGAATTAATTAGATGAAGTCATGATGGCAGGGCCCTCCCAAGATGTGATTAGTGCTTGATTAAAAAGAGACACCGGAGGGCTTTGGGTTGGGTCTGTCTCTCACTGCCATGTGAGGACCCTGCGAGAAGACAGCCAGGGAGGTCTCACCAGAACCTGACCATGCTAGCACCCTAATCACAGCTTTGCAGCCCTCAAAATTGTGAGAAAATAAATTTCTGTTGTCTGGCATACAGTCTATGGTATTTTGTTATAGCAGCCCAAGCTAAGACAGAGGAAACCTAGGGGTTGATGTGGGAGCGGGGACTTCAGGTAGAAGGATCCCGTGTCAAAAGGCAAAGCCAAAAATTCTGGAAGGAGCCAGGAAGGCATCAGGATGTCTCATTTTCTTTGCTAGAGGCATCTTTTGGGGGTTGGGGTGGTGGGTGGGTAGAAGGAAGGAGACGTGGCCAGTGAACCTCTGACTTTTAACTGAAGTTATTTCAAAACAGGGAACCAGAGGGTCGGATGTGGTAGCTCACGCCTGTAATCCCAGCTCTTTGGGAGGTAGAGGTGGGCCGATCACCTGAGGTCAGGAGTTCAAGACTATTCTGGCCAACATGGTGAAACCCCATCTCTACTAAAAATACAAAATTAGCTGGACGTAGTGGCGCCCCCAGCTACTTGGGAGGCTGAGGCAGGAGAATCGCTTGAACTCTGGGGGGTGAAAGTTGCACTGAACTGAGATCGTGCCACTGCACTCCAGCCTGGACAAGAGAGAGACTCCGTCTAAAAAAAAAAAAAAAAAAAAAAAAAGCAAAACCCCAAAACAACAGAATAGAGACAGTTTTTGTTTTTTGTTTTTGTTTTTGAGATGGAGTTTCGTTCTTGTTTCATAAGCTGGAGTACAGTGGTGTGATCTCGGCTCACCGCAACCTCCGCCTTCTGGGTTGAAGCAATTCTCCTGCCTCGGCCTTCCGAGTAGCTGGGATTACAGGTCCCACCACCACGCCCGGCTAATTTTGTATTTTTAGTAGAGACGGGGTTTCTCCATGTTGGTCGCGGCTGGTCTGGAACTCCCAATCTCAGGTGATCCGCCTGCCTTGGCCTCAAAGTGCTGAGATTACAGGCATGAACCACTGCTTCTGGCCCAAGAACAGGGACAGTTCTGTATCCCAGAGGGATTTATTTGTGTTGCCTGCTCAAGACTCAACAAGCCACCACCCTATAATACTCATCCAGCCCCGGAGAAATTTCGTTTTTTAGACTGTCAGAAGGTCCCATGAATAACCGTGCAGTCACTGAATGAGCTTCTTACTCACAAGCCCAGGTCTCTCTTGCACTCGGGCCTCGCAGATGGCCTCGTGCGTGGACTGGCGGTCCAGCCTACTGGGAACACTGCCCGGGCGCACCCCGCGCCACTTTTGGCCACTGAGGCCCGGGTCCTCTAGGCGCCGGGCTAGGGAGTCTCCTGGCTATCAAGGCTGTGGCAGCGTCGGGGGACCGGGGCGGGTTGCGTGCGCCGGGGGGCCTAGAAGCTGCAGGGCTGGACGCCGCTAGTGGGCGCCAGGCACGGAGACCCCTGAGGCGGAAGGGACAGGTAACGGCTCGGCGGGACTAGCTGGCCCCCGGCGCCCAGCGTCCCATGCGTGGCCGCTGCGGGAGCTTGTCTGCAGGCGGCCATCAGTCTTCGCCTCACTCGGCGCTACCTCGGTGGCCGCGCCCATGCTGCCCCCGCCACAACTAGTCACGAGGAGCCGCGGGCCGCGCTCTAGATGCTCACTGCGAGGACTTCCCGCGTGCATGCTCTCTGTCCGCCGCCACCCACGGCCCAGCTCCGGGCGGCCCTACCCACCCCTCCCGGCTTCCTGGGGTTGGGGCGCACCATCAAGTCGAACCGAATCCTCCTTTTTTCCTAGACAAGCCAGGGCTGGAGGAAGGGGCCGCACTTCCGGCCCACGGGAGCCGACGTCGTGTGTGGCGTCTGAGGGTCGGGCGTCTACCTGGAGTCACTGAGCCGACCAAAAGGAAAAGGTTAGTCCCTGTCCAGGAAGAGCACAGCCTAGTGGGGCGGGCGACAGGTTACAGTTGCTACCTTACAATGGCCGCGACCCGTGGAGGTACTAGACCTTCACCAGGGGTCTGTCAGGAAACGCGAGGCCTGCACAGGAAGGAATTGGGAGACCCAAGACTGTACCGACAAAACTGCTTTGGAGTCGGGCAGACCTGGATTTGAATTTGTTTCTTCACTTACTAGTTGTGGGACTTTGGGCAAATTTGCCTTTTTTTCTTTTTCTTTTGAGACGGAGTCTTGCTCTGTCGCCAGGCTGGAGTGCAGTGGCGCTATCTCGGCTCACTGCAACCTCCACCTCCCGGGTTCAAGCGATTCTCCTACCTCAGCCTCCTGAGTAGCTGGGACTACAGGCGTCCATGAACACGCCAGGCTAATTTTTGTAATAGAGACGGAGTTTCACCATGTTGGCCAGGATGGCCTTGATCTCCTGACCTTGTGATTCACCTGCCTCGTCCTCCCAAAGTGTTGGGAATACAGGCGTGAGCCACACTGTGCCCGGCTTGCAAATTTGCCTTTCTAGGCCATAGTTTCTTATTTATAAAACAGGGTTAACGTACACTCACTGAGGTAAATAAAAGAGAAAATTTATGTTAAGTGCTTATCTTGGCACCCAACATGTACCAAGTTCTAAAAAATAATGGAGCTAGGTAAAGAGGGAACAATCTTGACAGAAGGAACAGCTCATGGAAAGGCCACAGTTCAAGAGGGCGGTGCCTACATTCTTGGGAAACTGCAGAGAGTTCATGGGTAAATAATGGGTTAGGAAGTAAACTCATTTGCAGAAATCTCGAGTCTGATCTAGTTGGGGAAGGCTTTCTGCAATTTTGCATTTTTAGTAGAGACAGCGTTTCTCCATGTTGGTCAGGCTCGTCTTGAACTCCTGAACTCAGGTGATTTGCTTGCCTTGGCCTCACAAAGTGGGGAAACCCCACTATAGTATCATATGCCTCTCCTTTCTGGTACTTACTATGGTTGTAACTTTATTAATGATTCTAATCTTCTACCATTATAAGCTCCATCAGGGCAGAGACTGTTGTCCATTTATGCTCACCCTGCTTTGTAGCACCCGATACTTAACACATACTAAAAGCTCAATAAGGCCTGGCATGGTGGCTCACGCCTGTAATCCTAGCATGTTGGGAGGCTGAGGCTGGCATATCACGAGGTCAGGAGTTCAAGACCAGCCTGACCAATATGGTGAAACCCCGTCTCTACTAAAAATACAAAAATTTAGCTGGGTGTTGGCATGTGCCTATAATCCCAGCTTCAGGAAGTTGAGGCAGGAGAATGGCTTGAACCCAGAAGGCAGAGGTTGCAGTGAGCGGAGATCGCACCACTGCACTCCAGCCTGGGTGACAGAGCTAGATTCTATCTCAAAAAGAAAAAAAAAAGCTCAATAAATATTTATGGCACAAGTGGATACCCCTCTTCCCCAAGGAGATTATCAGACTCTGACTTTTCCTCAGTTTTGGTTTTCCTGGAGTTTGGTTCTTTAGCTGTTTAAAATCTTACGAAGGCAAACTTTGATCATTTAGGCTCTTTTTTCAGAGTTCCAAAGTAGACTGCTCCCTAACAGGTTTTATTCTGCAGAATTCAGGTTTACACAATGGACACTATTACATTAACTTCTGCTACCTATAAAAACTTTGGGCTTTTATTTCATAAATTATCCAATTATCTAAAGATTAACTATTGTTCTCCTTCAGTCCCCACTGGCCTGTAAATTCCTTGAACAATGACTATCCTTCTTTGGCCCGGATCTAATTATGGCCCCTGGCACATACTAAACAGTCACTAAGTAATTCTTAAATAACTTTTATTTCAACATTCAGTTGAAAACATTCCATACTGTAACAAAAGTTTCAATCTCCTTTCAGAAGCTCAGTACCCTTAGTTTGATTCAAGCTGTATCAGAGATGAATAGGTTAGTCTGCAATCTGGAGTTTGTAAGTAATAGTTAATATTTGAAAAAGATCATATATTTGCCCCCAAAAGGGATAAAAAGACTAATGTTAAAAAAAGTAATAAAAATGTTAAATGTTAAATTTGCTTTTGGCTGTAATTTTAGTACCTAGGTCTGCCTACATGGTGCCAGTCAGAAGCATAATTTGTGTTGTAGATGCCTTTATATAATAAAAAAAATTTAATAAATGCAGTTTCAGAAACATAATTTTTTAATCTTTTAAAACACAGGACATGGGGAGAATAAAAAGAGGGCCTTGGTGGTTAAAAAGTTGGAAACCACTGCAATAAATTACCTTCAAATCCCTTTAAGTATTCTGCTTATCCTTATAAACATTAGCTCTCACTGTACAGCACTGTAAAGACAAGTAAAAGACTTTGACTTTTTTTTTTTTTTTTGAGATGAAGTTTTGCTCTTGTTGCCTCAGGCTGGAGTGCAGTGGTACAATCTCAGCTCACCACAACCTTTGCCTCCCAGGTTCAAGCAATTCTCCTGCCTCAGCCTCCCGAGTAGCTGGGACTACAGGTGCACCCCACCATGCCCGGCCACTTTTTGTATTTTTAGTAGAGACAGGGTTTCACTATGTTGGCCAGGCTGGTCTCGAACTCCTGACTTTGTGATCTGCCCACTTTGGCCTCCCAAAGTGCTGGGATTACAGGTGTGAGCCACCATGCCTGGCCTACACTCCTTACTTTCACAGCGTTTTTTTTCTTTTGTTTTGTTTTTTCTTTTCTTTCTTTTTTTTTTTCCCTCTGAATAAACCAATGCTTTGACAAAAACACAGGGTTTTTTTTTCCCCCCCAGATTTAAACTTGTCACTGGACTAGGAAGACAAGATTGAAATGGCTCTTTCCATGAAAAATTTAGTTTTGTGGTTGTTGCCAAAGTGATTTATAATGATTTTAACAATGATAGACATCCCCTAAAACATTCTCAAGTAATTATACCCTTGGGGTGGTGCAGTGGCTCATGCCTGTAATCTCAACACTTTGGGAGGCTGAGGAGGGAGGACTGCTTGAGCCCAGCAGTTTGACACCAGCCTGGGCAACAGAGTGAGACTTGCCTCTTTGCATTTATACAAATAAATAAATAATTTAAAAAGTTACATCCTTGGGACCATATTCTAGTGTCAACTCTGAGACAGAAAAAAAAAAGGCAATTATGTCCAACAGCTTTTAGCTTTTCCACTTGATTCTACTTACATGTTTTTCATCCAGTAGGACTTTTCTCTACTTTCCCACCTTCATATGAATTTTCTAATGATAAAACTCATTTGTAGTGCAATAAGATGTAGTCTCCATCAGGCTTTTCCTAGTTTTACCACATTCATAAGGTTGCTGCTACCTATTAGAATAGGTCCTGTTTGTAGACTCTTACTGTCCTCAAATTCCTTTCAATGTGAAGTTTCTGGTGTTTAAGAAAAGCTGTCCACCCACTGAAGGCCTTACCACAGTTGCTACATTCAAAGGGTTTCTCTCTGGTATGAATTCTTTGATGACTAACAAGGTGTGAATTCTGACTAAAGGCCTTCCCACATTCAGGGCATTCATAGGGTTTCTCTCCAGTATGAACACAATGGTGTCAAATAAGATCTGAGCCGCCCCTAAAAGATTTTCCACATTTGTTGCATACATAAGGATTTTCTCCACTGTGAATTCTATGATGTCTTACAAGGTCTCAGCTCTGATTGAAAGTTTTCCCATATTCTTTACATTCATATGGTTTCTCTCCTGTATGAGTTACCTGATGTCTGATAAGTTCTGAGCTGCCCTGGAAATTCTTACCACACTGATTACACCAATAAGCTTTCTCTTCCTGGCGAATTCTCTGCTCTTCCCTAAGCTCCTCATCCTTGCTGAAGGTTTTCTCACATTCTTCAAGTTTCTCTCCAGCATGAAGTTTCTGATGTTTGAGGAAAGCTGTGCGCCACATGAAGAGTTTCTCACATTCCTTACATTCATAGGGCTTCTCACCACTACGAATTCTCTGATGTTGAATAAGGAGGGAATGCTGCCTGAAGGCTTTGCCACATCCAGTGCACTGATAGGGCTTCTCTCCAGTATGGATTTTTCTGGTGTGTAACAAGGTGTGACCTCTGGCTAAACACTTTCCCACATTCACTACATTCATGAGGTTTCTCTCCAGTATGAACACGATGGTGTTTAATAAGATCTGAGCTGCTCCTAAAAGATTTCTCACATTTGTTGCATACATAAGGTTTTTCTCCACTGTGGATTCTATGATGTCTTACAAGGTCTCAGCTCTGATTGAAAGTTTTCCCACGTTCTTTACATTCATATTGTTTCTCTCCTGTATGAGTTACCTGATGTCTGATGAGGGTTGAGCTGTCCTGGAAGGTCCTACCACACTTACACCAATAAGCTTTTTCTTCCTGGTGAATTCTCTGCTCTTCCCTAAGCTCCTCATCCTTGCTGAAAGTTTTCTCACAATCTTCAAGTTTCTCTCTAGCATGCAGTCTCTGATGTTTGAGGAAACCTGTATGCCACATGAAGAGTTTTTCACATTCCTTACATTCATAGGGCTTCTCACCACTATGAATTCTCCGATGCTGAATAAGGAGGGAATGCCGCCTGAAGGCATTCCCACATTCATTGCATTGATAGGGCTTCTCTCCAGTATGGATTTTCTGGTGTGTAACAAGATGTGACCTCTGGCTAAAGGCTTTCCCACATTCACTACATTCATAGGGTTTCTCTCCAGTATGAATATAATGGTGTCTAATAAGATCTGAGCTGCCCCTAAAAGATTTCCCACATTTGCTACATACACAAGGTTTTTCTCCACTGTGAATTCTATGATGTCTCATAAGGTCTGAGCTCTGATTGAAAGTTTTCCCACATTCTTTACATTCATATGGTTTCTCTCCTGTATGAGTTACCTGATGTCTATTGAGGTCTGAGCTGCCCTTGAAATGCCTACCACACTGATTACACCAATAAGCTTTCTCTTCCTGGTGAATTTTCGGCTCTTCCCTAAGCTCCTCATCCTTGCTGAAGGTTTTTTCACATTCTTTAAATTTCTCTCCAGCATATAGTCTCTGATGTTTGAGAAAGGCTGTGCACCCACTGAAGGTCTTCCCACATTTGTGACATTCATAGGGTTTCTCTCCACTGTGAAGTCTCTGGTGTTTAGTAAGACAAGAAGGCTGCCTAAAAGCTTTTTCACATTCATTACACTTGAAGGATTTCTCTCCAGTGTGAATTCTCTGATGTGTGACAAGGTGTGAACTTTGCTGGAACATCTGTCCACAATCATAATATTCACAGGGTTTCTCTCCAGTGTGAATTCTGTGATGTATAGTAAGATCTGAACTTTGACTGAAGGCCTTCCCACATTTATTGCATAAATATGGCTTCCCCTCACTGTGGATTCTCTGGTTTAGGATGAGGTTTGAGCTTCCCTTAAAAGCCTTCCCACACTCTTTACACTCATAGGGATTCTCACCACTGTGAATTTGCTTATGTCTGACCAGATTAGAGCTCTGATTGAGGTCTTTTCCACATTCATGACATATGTAAGTTTTCTTTCCTTTATGAATTCTCTGATATATAATAGGATTTGAACTTTGATTAGAGTCTTTCCCACATTCATTACACACATATGGTTTATTTCCGGTATGAATTATCTGATGTATGATCAGGTTTGAGCTCCTGCTTAAGGTTTTTCCACATTGCTTACATTCATAGGTCTTATTTATACTACAGATTTTCTGATGTTCAGTTAATCCTGACTTCTGTTTGAAGTTTTGGCCACAGACATCATATCTATGGGAGCTTTGTCCTGCAGAAAGTATTTCTTCGAGGGAGAGATCCAAGATGGCCGATCGCTAACATCCCGGGATTGCAGCTCTCAGGGAAGGCGCGGAGAACTAGAGGACGCCACACTTTCAGACAAATTCTGGTCGCTCACGGAGCAGGAGATCCCCCAGTGGAGGAAACACGGGTGGCCAGCGCGACCCTCGTGGCCGGTGCAGCAGTTCCGCCGGCACCTTGGCACAGCAGCTCTCGGAGCAAAGTAAACAGGTTCGGAGGACTGGCACCGGCCCCCAGCATGACACCAGAGCCCGGCGCAGCCGCTGTGACGGCACCTCGGCGGGAGAGCGCTCGGCGCAGAGTAAACAGGACCGGTTTCCCTTCTGACTGAGGTTTGGAGCCCCGGGAAGGCAGAGTCACCTACTACGGACACAAGAAGGAAGCCAGACAGGAGAATCCTGGGCAGAAAAGCACCATCAGTTTTAACGCTGCTGCTCTGGCCCTGGGAACTAACAACCTGGACGCCCACTCAAGAGACCTAATCTGAAAGTTGGTAATTTCAAAGAGACAGGAGGATAAATTTACAATGATGGGAAGAAACCAGCGTAAAAAAGCTGAGAATACTCAAAATCAGAACGCCTCTCCCTCTAAAGATGATCACAGTTCCACATCAACAATGGAACAAGGCTTGATGGAGAATGAGCGCATCCCAATGACAGAATCACTCTTCAAGGAATGGATAATAAGAAACTTCGGTGAGTTAAAAGACCATGTTGTAGCCCAACGTAAAGAAACTAGGAACTTTGAAAAAAGGTTTGATGAAATCCTATTGAGAATAGACAACTTAGAGCAGAGTATGAGTGAATTAATGGAACTAAAGAATACAATACAGGAACTCCGAGAAGTATGCACAGGTTTAAACACTCGAATTGTTCAAGCAGAAGAAGGGATATCAGAGGTCAAAGTCCAACTTAATGAAATAAAACGTGAAGAAAAGATTAGAGAAAAAAGGATAAAAAGGAATGAGCAAAGTCTCCAAGAAATGTGGGACTATGTGAAAAGACCAAATTTACGTTTGATAGGTGTACCTGAATGCGACGGAGAGAATGAATCCAAGCTGGAAAATACCCTTCAGGATATTATTCAGGAAAATTTTCCTAAACTAGCAAAGCAGGTCAACATTCAACCCCAGGAAATACAGAGAACACCACAAAGATATTCCTCAAGAAGAGCAACCCCAAGGCACATAATCGTTAGATTCACCAGGGTTGAAACGAAGGAGATAATACTAAGGGCAGCCAGAGAGAAAGGTCATGTTACCCACAAAGGCAAGCTTATCAGACTTACAGCAGATCTCTCAGCAGAAACTCTACAAGCCAGAAGAGAGTGGGGGCCAATATTCAACATTCTCAAAGAACAGAACCTTCAGCCCAGAATTTCATATCCAGCCAAACTAAGCTTCACAACTGAAGGAAAAAGAAAATCTTTTACGAACAAGCAAGAACTCAGAGATTTTATTACCACCAGGCCTGCTTTACAAGAGCTTCTGAAAGAAGCATTACACACAGAAAGAAACAACCAGTATTAGCCTTTCTAAAAATACCCCAAAAAGTAAAGAGCACCAACATAAAGAAGAATTTACACCAACGAATGGATAAAACAGCCAGTTAACATCAAATGGCAGTAACCCTAAATTTAAATTGACTAAATCCCCCAATCAAAAGACACAGCCAAAACCCAATGGCATGTTACATCCAGACCTGTTTCACATGCAAGGATACACAAAGACTCAAAACAAAGGGATGGAGAAAGATTTACCAACCAAATGGAGAGCAAAAATAAATAATAAATAAATAAAAAGCAGGAGTTGCAATTCTCGTATCGGAGAAAATAGATTTTAAAGCAACAAAGATATAGTGGTAAAAGGATCAATGCAACAACAAGAGCTAATGATCCTAACACCCAGATATGAGACTTAGATTCAATGAGACAGAAAGTTAATAAGGATATCAAGGACTCGAACTCAGATCCAGAACAAGTAAACTTAATAAATATTCATAGAGCTCTCCACTTCAAATACACAAAATATACATTCTTGTCAATACCACATCACACCTACCCATAAGTTTAAATGAAACATTGATTGGCCATTATTAATACTCAATTTTTTTCAAAATAAAGCAATATTTCCATTTACTCTCCCTCTTTCTCTTCCTCTTTCTTCCTCTCCTTTACTTATTTTTTTTTTCTTTCCTTCTCTCAAAAAAAAAAAAAAAAGAAATCAACTTGTAAACCTCTAGATCCAGGTCGGCAATGTCTCTCTCATTGCTTGATTTCCTTCCTTCCCTTCCCTCCCTCCCTCCCTCCCTCCCCGCTTCCTCCCTTCCTTCCTTCCTTCCTTCATCCCTTTCTTCCTCCCTACCGTCCTTCTTCCCTCCCTCCCCGCTTCCTCCCTCCCTTCCTTCCTTCATCCCTTCCTTCCTCCCTACCATCCTTCTTCCCTCCCTTCCTGCCTTCCTCCCCCCCCAAAAAAAAAAAAAAAAAAAAGAAAGTATTTTTTCTCCTTCATTACATCCATGGCCGATCTCTCCTACAATGGCTTTCTCAGGGATAATATGCATTTCCCTAATATCTCTCTCTTGGGAAGGGGGATGTCTCACTGCATCCTTTAAAGGGTTTACCCAGTGCTTTAATAATCTGTCCTCAGAATTACTGGTTTCAACTAACTCACTTTTCTGGATCATCTGTCTTTGGAATTTTTCAGATGCAGTCCTCACTGACTTCTTTTCTTCAGAAATTTCCATCTTTGATTTCCATTCCTTCATCTTATTCATGGTTTCAGAATCTGAAATGATAAGTATATCATTCTATAATTCCTAAAATACAAATATCACCTCTTCACTATACTGGGCTGTCTAAGAGGGAGGAACAAAGAACTTAGAAGACCTTTCCCTGCCAGAGCTGAGATGTGGACTTCACTAGAGACACTGCGGCTATCATAGGAACCTGTGCTACCACATACCCTGTTGGTGAAGAAACCTGCTGGAGCTGGGCTGTGGGAGTGGCCTAATTCACTGGGGAAGGAGGACATTCTGGAGTTAGTCCACAGGAAGTGGCCTGTTGGATGGAGAAGGAACTTGCTGGATGGTGTGGCTGGGCCTGAACTGGTTCACAGGAAGCAGCCCACTAAGGTAAGTGCCACCAGGCCTCCCACAAGTTGATCTGCTAGCAGCCACATCAGCAAATAAATAAATAAATACATACACAAATAAATAAATAGAACAGCACACCGGTACCAAGAAGCAAAGTTAGTTTCTCTTCCTGTGGGCATGCATTGTCCCTCCAGTATCCTCTGTTGACAAAGTCTAAATCTTTTTTTTTTTAAGACAGGGTTTCACCATGTTGGTCAGGCTGGTCTTGAACTCCTGACATCAGGTGATCTGCCCGCCTTGGCCTCCAAAGTGCTTGGATTACAGGCATGAGCAACCACGCCCGGCCCAAAGTCTAAATCCTGTACCAACTGGCACAGGAGAAATGTTTATAGGATCCAGCTTCGTAGCATAAGTAAACAAAGATGGGTGAATTTAGAGTTGAGAGTCAATAAATTAATAACCAGCTCACTGCCCATTCCTCCCAATATACCATGATAGTTAAGCAGATCTGTACTATGCCTCAGAATAAAAACATTTGGCTCTCATTTCAACAGAAGTCAATTATCCTTTTTCCAGACCTCACATTTTTCTTTTTGATATTCTGTGGAATTGCTTCCTTTTGTATGGCAATTTTATTTCTTCTCCTGAAATTACAAGATAGATGAGCTTATTGCTTTTGGTTGTCTATGTTATCAAATCCCTGACCTTGCCCAGTATATTAGTCCATTCATGCTGCTGGTAAAGACATACCTGAGACTGGGAAGAAAAAGAGGTCTTTACTTTTTTTCTTTTATATTTTTTCTGTTGCTGAAACAGAATAAGAAAAAGAGGTTTAATTGGACTTACAGTTCCACATGGCAGAGGAGGCCTCAGAATTATGGCAGGAGGTGAAAGGCACATCTTACATAGCAGTGGCAAGAGAAAATGAGGAAGACGGGACATGGATGAATCTGGAAAACATCATCCTCAGCAAACTGACACAAGAACAGAAAATGAAACACCGCATATTCTCACTCATAGGTGGGTGATGAAAAATGAGAACACATGGACACAGAAAGGGGAGTACTAAACACTGGGGTCTATTGGGGGGAAAAGGGGAGGGCCAGTGGGAGGGGGAGGTGGGGAGGGATAGCCTGGGGAGAAATGCCAAATGTGGGTGAAGGGGAGAAGAAAAGCAAAGCACACTGCCATGTGTGTACCTACGCAACTGTCTTGCATGCTCTGCTCATGTACCCCAAAACCTATAATCCAATAAAAAATTAAAAAAAAAAAAAGAAAAAAAAAAAAAAAGAAAAGAAAATGAGGAAGACGCAAAAGTGGAAACCCCTGATAAAACCATCAGATCTCATGAGACTTATCCACTACCATGAAAATGGTATGGGAAAAACCACCCCCATGTTTCAAATTATCTTCCACCATGTCCCTCTCACAACATGTGGGAATTTAGGAGTACAATTCAAGATGAGATTTGGGTGGGGACACAGAGCCAAACCATTTCATTCTGCCCCTGGCCCCTCCAAATATCATATCCTCACATTTCAAAAACCAGTCATGCCTTCCCAACAGTCCCCCTAAGTCTTAACTCATTTTAGCATTAACCCAAAAGTCCACAGTTCAAAGTCTCATCAGAGACAAGGCAAGTCCCTTCTGCCTATGAGCCTGTAAAATCAAAAGCCAGCTAGTTACTTCCTAGATACAATGGGGGTACTGGTACTGGGTAAATATTGCCATTCCAAATGAGAGAAATTGGCCAAAACAAAGGGGTTATTCAAGGGCCTATTCAAGTCCAAAATCCAGTGGGTTAGTCAAATTTTAAACCTCTAAAATTATCTCCTTTGACGCCAAGTCTAACATCCAAGTCATGCTGATGCAACAGGTGGGTTCCCATGGTCTTGGGTAACTCCACCCCTTTGGCTCTGCAGGGCCTGGTCTTGGGTAACCACCTCCTGGCTGCTTTCATTGGCTGGTGTTGAGTGTCTGTGGCTTTTCCAGGTGCATGGTGCAAAGTGTAGGTGTATCTACCATTCTGGGGTCTGGAGGATGGTGGCCCTCTACTCACAGCTCCACTAGGCAGTGCCCCAGTAGGGACTCTGTATGGGGGCTCTGACCCCACATTTCCCTTCTGCACTGCCCTAGTAGAGGTTCACCATGAGAGCCCTGCCCCTGCAGCAAACTTCTGCCTGGGTATCCAGGCATTGCTATACATCTTCTGAAATACAGGTGGAGGTTCCCAAACCCC